GGGGGTGAATCGTCGTAATCAGGCCGAGTATGCCGTTCGTGCGGTGACGCAGGTATCTTTCCTCCCCTAACTTTATCTTCGAGCACCTTGCTTCGTGTTGTACTTGACTTTTGCTCTTGCCACAGACTTTGGTCTCTGTCGTGCCTCTCCTCGAGGAAACGCTGAACAGCACCGGTCGCCCAATTCCTGTGCTCGAGGGTGATAATAGGCATCTCGAGGAAGAGAACCGGAGGTTGAGGGCCGAGAATGAGGATCTGCTCAAGACCCGCCATGCTTTAGCTGAGCAAATAAAGAGAGACGAGCAGCGGTTTAAGGAGGCTATGCAAGTGAAAGATAAGGCTCTCGAGGTAGAGCGGGCTGGCCGAAAGAAGGAGGTTGAGGCCGCTGCTATTACTGCTATCGAGCAGTCTCGTCGAGCCTTGTGGAGGACCCAAGTTGGTCAGAACTTCCTAAAAGCTTATCGGGAGCAGCTGATCCAAGACTTCCTGTGCTCGACGGCGTTCCTCAAAGAGGCTGCTGAGATGGGGATGCACTTTTATACCTACAGCATGGAGGAAGTCGAGCGCCAGCTGAAGGAGATGGGGTTCAATGGTGAGCTTGACCAGGATAAAACATGGGAAGCAATTCCCTCTGCTCCTTCTAGCTTCACCGGTGATCCCACTCTGCCCGCCGATCATCCTTGGTGGGCCAGTTCTCTGGAGAAGACCTTAGCGGGTGATCCTTCTTTGAAAAGTTCGTTTGACTTGCCCAGGCCAGGCGAGGCACCCCTGGTCCGTCTTTCAGTTGGCTTCCTTCCTCCACAGCCTGTGACCACCCACGCTCCTTCGTCCATCTCCCATTCATCAGCCTCGGCTCTCAATCATTCTACCGTCGCCTCCCTTTCTTCGATTGGCGCCTCGCACTCGACCACCGTTGCTTCTGCCTCCTCTGCGGCCGTCCAGTCGACCACAGCGGCTCAGTTGGGGTTTGCTGCTTTCGCCTCGTCAGTTGCGGACGCCTCCTCGACCGTTGCTGCTATGTCGTCGGCCAAAACTGCCCAGTCGACTTCCGCGGCGCGGGCTTCTGCCACGGTGTCATCAACTGTGTCCTCTACCGCTGCTGCGCAGTCGACCGGCGTTGCTCTATCTGCGACCGCTCCTCCAAAATAGTTTTAGGTGCTCGACGATGTATTTTCATATTTCTATTTTGATGCAATTTGTAATCTTGTACCCGCCATGGAATGAAAACCTTGGTTTCTTCTTATTTGTGTCGTGTAATGCTTTTGCTTTCCATTTTTTGAGTTGCTCTGTATTACGATTTCTCGTAGACATGTTGACATATGCTCCTTATGCTTTTTCAATGTTCTCGTTTATATACAATAAACCATAATCACCACTCGCTGCTCTTAAATCTGTATGAATCCTAGTTAATACCTCGCCACTCATCGTCGCCCAATTGTGTTGAGGTGTGCTCCTTATGAAGGACTTTAGTTTTGTTGCCCGCACATTAGGGAAATCTAAACCTAAAACTGATAGAAGTTGCCATTCAATTCGAACCTAAAACTGACCGACCTTCGCCCACCTCTTGGTCGAGGTGTTCCATAAACGGAGGACTTTGGTCTTGTCACTTGCCCACCCTAAAGGATGTTCCGAAAACATTGTGGTCGTCCAACCCGGAGCGTGGACGTTGTTGACCACATGCCCACCCCTTAGAATGTACCGAAAACAAGCGACCTTCGCCCACCTCTTGGTCAAGGTGTTCCACAAACGAAGGACTTTGGTCTTGTCACTTGCCCACCCTAAGGGATGT